AAAGAGTTCTTTTTTAGAATTTTTATTTTAACTATTTTTTTTCTTGTCTACCAGTTCACTGAGAACTTGACACTTCTCAGTATGAGAACACTAATAATTTGTTTACCTCATTTTTCACTGTATTTGTAGTTTATGGCTGTGTTTTGGTGTTACAGGCTATAAGTTTGGCTGACAGGTGCCAAATCAAGTGCCTGATATGAAAGCAGCAGCTGGGGAAATCTTGCTTCTGGTGACCTTCAGCTTGTTAAACCACTTGGGTTAATGACTTGGGAACTGGCAGTGAATTTGTACAGGCTCATGGGGTGAGGAGAAGAGAGACCAAGCCGTGCAGCTCCAAACAACACCTGAAAGGTCCCTCATTGTTTTCTCAGTAAAATCACTTACCTGTCTTCTTAATCATTGCAGCAAAAGTAGGAGTCAATATAATTAACAGAAATAATAATAGCTCAATAATAAAGAATTAGAAAGTAAAATATAATGATCCATTGTTGAATCAACCAAATCATATTTTCAGCTTTCTAGTTGCCATTGCCATTGTCTGTTTCATGTGTTTGTTCTTTGTTGTTGTACAGCTTATTGCCATTTTTGATAAACAGGTCTGTGGGTACAGATCTTGTCTTTTTGGTTGTGACTGGTCTGGAAAGAACTGCTCAAAGAGCATTTGCCACAAAAAGCTGTACCTGCTTTCAGCTGCAATGAAGCAGTATTTGATCTTCCCTGCTGAAGCATTTAAGACTTGATCTGAAAGCTGTGAAAGTGTGTGGTGCTGTGCCATGGCAATAGCTTATGTCTTGTTCAACTGTTGAGTTGTGTCGTATTCATAATAATGAATTCAGTGAAAGATGCAGCCTAGTTATCCAGCCAAATAACAGATTTTGTTGTTGAAATCCATAAAGGTAAACCCACAGGTAGCTTTAAATGGCAAGCTGAATGTATTGTAGATAGAGTGTAACATTATAACCATTCCTAGAAATCGTAACATCAGCAATAGGAGTGATGAATGTGTTCTGCAATAGTTCATTTCTGGCTATCTCTTCTTAAAGTTGTTTAGGACCAGGCAGAGCCTCCAAAATGCTCTGGTAGTGGTGAGGTTAGAGCATCAACAGCTGATGCTCATAGTTTTTTCACTGAAGGTTATCTGCTGTATGGATTATAGGTAGGTGACTACCATGGATGTGACTCCTACTTTACCTGTTGTCTTTGATTTTTGCAAAAGGATAGATGGATTTCCCCAAACAGCATTCTGCTCTGAGCAAGTCAGTGCTGTAGTGGTCTTCTCCTTGTAATCCAGACTGGCAACTGTGCCAAACTTCTTGGCAGTACTTCACAAAGATGGCGTTTATGTTTAAGGAAAGTGATGCATTGTGAAAGCTGTCATGTTATGTTGTGCTGATGGAGGAGCCAACTGGAATTACTGAGACAGAACTCTCTTCAATCACTGTAACCTGTGATTTCTGAACTGAAAAGTGTTTTCTTCTAAAAGCTAGTGAAAATGCATTTTTAGGTACTTTGAGGAAAAGATGTTACAAATACTGTAAATATTACCCATTGAATATTTCATACATAGGGAACTTTGTCTAAATATGTCAGCTGTAAGAACACTTAGGACTTAATTTTTGTCCAGGAAGATAAATCCATGAAAAGAGATGTAAAAATAACTGACTAAGGTGCATGGTATCTAGGTCAACCAGCCAAATTTCTGACTGACCTGCCTTTTTTTACTGAATGCAACCCAAAATGAAATTCTTGGCTGAAGAAAACAGTCTAATTATAGCCTTATAGTTGGCAGCCTTGTTCTTCAGGCCTTCATTTCTTCTGGTTTCAGTTACACTAGTACATATTGAGAGGCCATATTCAAGTGGCACGGTCGAATGTGGTGGTAATGTTTGGTAGGTAATGAGGTAGGTAGGTAACCAATACTAATTTCATGGTGTCTTGCCTGCCTGCAAGTTTGCAATTAAATTGTGACCATTAGCTACCTGATTTTAGCAGCAGCTTACAATCAGTGAAGGAAGACAGAGGCTCACCAGGTGGCTTTGCCATTGCTTTTGCTGCCTAGAGAAGTGTGCTGGCTGCTCCCACAGTGGTAGGACTCAAATTCAATCTATTCACTGTACCACAAGTGAGTGCCAGAGTTGAATAACATTGTCCGTTCTGCTATGGCGTTGTTTCTTTGGTCATTAATTAGGACAATGGCCCAGTGCTGCAGCTCAGTCAGTAATGTCATACTGATTTATGTTAAGAAGTTAATAACTAGAAGTTTCTCATTTATTTCACTTTTGCTTCGTCATACACAGCTTTGACTAAAATGTGTTCGTTGGTCTTGGATATTACATAATATTTAAGTGGTGATAGGTTTCTCTTAAAATTACAAAATTTTCTCACATTCCATTGTTTGGAAGGGAGAAGAGAGCTAGAGAAAAAAAGATGTTTTAGATTAAAATTCAGTTTATCGGTAAAGCAATTTTCAGTTTGATGTTTTAGGTTTGTTATGCAAAGTTCTTAAGCATATCCATCAGGGAATTAGAACACTCTAGACTAATTACTTTGCTGAATCTGAACTGGAAAACATCACTGAAAGCTATTAGGTTGGCACAGTAAATATGATGCCTTTATTGCAAACTAGAACACCATTTAATGAGATAATCCAAAGCCCAGTGAAATCAGTAGAAAGGTATCTGTTGACTACAGTAACTCAGTACCAGACAAAGTGTCAACTGCAGTAACTTTTTTGAGATTGCAGATGTGTTGCATAATCAGAAATGAAGTTACTGGACTGGCATAAAAATTATTCCTAAGGTTGAAACACCTATATCAATCATAGAAAGCTTCTCTGTTACGAGAGTAAGAAATCTTGTATTTTATATAAATAATGTAATCTAAAGACAAGATGCCACTGATATTCAGGGAATGGGTGTCAACAAATGCTTGTCAGTATCTGTACAGGATTATTTATGTTCCCTTTGTCACACTGCTAGCTTATTCCTTCTGAGCATGAATGCCTTTTGGGAGTCTCTCTAGGATAAGACTGTGGATGTTTCTTGCCTTTTATCTAGTATTATCTGGCTCTTCTTTGTTGGAAAATTTAGTTTCATGGTGACACATTTTGTATTTTCTTTGCTAAGCATGTTAGCCTGTAGCATCTATGAAAACCTGAAGTAATTGTACAGCCTTCTCCTTTTGCCGATCTTGAGAAGAGCTGGGACCAGCCTCCTACTTCTACTGATTCCTATACTGATTCCTATACTGATTGTATAGGTTCAGTTGCAATCAATTGCTCACCCATCCCATGATGTGTTTATCCAGCTGTGTGCTGGACAGTTTGTCCAGAAGGATACTATGAGAGACAGTATGAAAAACTTTACTGAAATCCAAAAAGATTACATCAACTGGCTTCCCCTGATCAGCTAGGCAGGTTACCTTGTCATAAAAGGAAGTCACGTTTGATAAGCAGGACTTTCCTCTCATGAAGCCGTGCTGGCTGTGAAGAATGACTGTGTTGTCCTTTAGGTGTTTTTCAATACCTCCCAGGATAATCTTCTCTATAACTTCACCAGGTACTGAAGTGAGACTGACAGGGAGAGACTGTAGTTTCCAGGGTTCTGCCTCTTGCCCTTCTTGAAAATCAGGACAACATTCGCCAACTTCCAGCCAACTGGGACCTTTTGGGATTGCCAAGACCAATCAAAAATTATTGAGAGAGGTTTTGAGATGACATCAGCCAGCTCTTTGAGGATTCTGGGATGAATCCCATCAGGCCCCATAGATTTGTAGGGATCCAGCTGGAGCAGCCAGCCTTCTACCTCATCTGCTTGACTTCCAATGTTTTGGAATTGCCTGCTCCTGTGCCCTTAGGAGGTGATGTTTGAAAAGTGACCAGCACTGATGGGCCCCAGCACCTGCATCACATTAGGTAATGTTTAATGTTGCAGCATTACTGTCCATTTTGGTTGACTAGACAACCTCTTTAGGTATTGATAAAAGTAAAATTAAAACAATTATCTCCTTTTCCCCCCCCATTTTCTTCTATGTCTAGCCATTACAGATACTGTTTAATTTTCCAGATTTGTAGGTACATTGCTACCTGTTGATTTTTTCCTTTGCTTATTTTGATTAATTTTTTCTTTTACTATTTTTGCTGGTTACTGTCTTAATATATGTCTATTCCTATCTTAAAACAATTACCAGTTATGTAACGCACATGAAGTGCAGAGAAAACCAAGTTATTTTCAAGCATCTATGAACTTTAGGTGGACTGACTGTGTGATGTACCCAAGTTTGCCTTCCTCTGAGACATGAAGGCATTTGGGTTTTGTGTCCAGGTCCAGTACAAAACCGAGAAAAGAGCCAAGCTATCGAACCCTCTCCTTTTCAAAGGGAGTTGGCTCTCACGTCCCTATTAATCTGTCCCTAAACTTCACAATGTCCTCCAGTGTGACATATACAATTGTAGTACTGCCAGTGTGCAGACAGAATTTTAATGAAGGGGGTTGTTTTGTTTTGAAATTTTGATGGGCTCAAGTGCATCAAGAATGTGCATTTCTGACAGTACAAAGTGGTACAGGACAAAGACCCAGGCTTGCTCTCTGTCAGAGAGGTTTTAAAATATCTTGCCATTTGATGTGCTTCATTCCACTGTAGAGGAAGAAAAGCTGTAGATTCATTTCTAGCATGAGTGATCTAGCAGTATGCAGAGAGAAGCAGCTGTAAATCCAGGAAAGGTATTAAAATAGGTATCCCTTTGAATTTGAGAAAAATGTTAACTGAATTCTTTCTGTGTACCTTAATGAATTTGCAAATAGTGCCTTTGTAATACATTTATATATGGAAAGGTCATTGAGCCAATTACAATAGTTATTTTGACCTGCCTACAGAACTCCTTATACTTGATTTTGCACAGTAGGTAAAGAAATGAGAATGTCTGACAAATATGGATACATTTTTCAACTTACCATCTTCATGTTGTCGAGATCAATGATCCTTTCTGAGCTGTGCTTCAGGAAACAGTTGCATATGAGTCCAGCCTCTGAGCGTTGTAATTTTTAACCCTCCTAATCTGCAACTGGTGACAACTGGACTTTCTTACAAAGAAATCAGTATCTCTTAGCTCTTCATTCTGCGAGCTCCTTGAAGCAGTGCTGAACAGCACTTCACAAAAGGTCGGTGAAATCAAACATGAGATTGTGTACATTTATCACAGTTACATAAATCTGAGTAACTATACAAAGACACATGCTTGCAAGGACTACTGCATGTTAATGAATCCATAGACACCTAATAATTTGAGCTTTTCTCCACATGAATGATGCTTAGAATTTGTGGTGCATATTGCTTAGGAAACACTAGATAAGTTGACATTTGATGAAGAAGCAAATTTGTTGTGGTTTCTTTACATGTAATTACTCTATCAGGTGTATGTTGGTAAATTCAGTTACTTCATAGAATATGGCACCATGTGCTCTGCTGTTTTATTTATAGGATTGCCTTCTATTTCTGTTTATGTTGCTTCCAGATAATTATTTGAGAAATGTAACTTATTTTTTACTTAATTTTTTATTCCTTTGAAGAACTGGTAGTGCACACGCATTTTACAGGCCTAGGGAATCCCAAATGTTACCTTACTGGCAAGTAGTGCTGCTGCTTTGTGCCTGTATGGGTTTGAGGAGTGACAAGTGATCAACACATGGACCCATATGAGCTGAAATCTTTTCAGATGAAGGATGTAAGGGGACTCTGGGTGCTGTGAGTAGAGAGAATATCTGTCTGTTTAGCAGTGAAACCTAATGGCCTGTGGGGTGGTGTTTCTGAACGCATCCCTCTAAGTTTCATTTATATACGTTTTAACTATGTATAGTCTGAGCTTGCTATTTAGGCATTAGGCTGTGTAAATTACATATTTATCTGTGCTTTCCATGGGATGAACAGGAACACATAGTAAAGGGTGCAGATGCCAGAGTATGAACTTTTTTCGTGGTACATGGCTAGTAGTTTTATTCTCTTTGTGAGTAGAGGGTGAGCAGGTGGGTGAAGTCTGTCACAGTGGTAGACATTGAGCTAGAGTTGACCTGAAATGAGAAATGCAGGGTATTGGCATGGTATTTCTGTGATCTACAGCCACATTCACATTTATGATTAAAACTGCTCTGCATCAGGTGGCTTTCTTTACTTGAGTCATTGTCTTTCTTGAAGAAGAAAGTATTTTCCAACATGAAGCTGAACAGAGGAGTAGTTTACCTAGTCATAACTCATTTAGTTGTAAACAGAAATTAAGGAATCTCAGTACAGTCAAGGATACTTAAACAGATGTTTTCCTCCAAGATAAGACCATCACTGATTTGGCCGTGCATGTTGTGAGGGAAAAATCCTGAAGGAACTGGAGAAAATTGCAACTTATCCTAGGTTGTATACTTGTGACTTCTGACATTTATAGGATCTGTATAAATACAGGGAGGGTTGCTCCTGAGGTGCAAAGACATGGTGGTCCATACTCAATGTGGTGTATCACTGGGACTGTGAATACAGCTGCAGGCACATAAGGAGAGGCTCATTAGTGAAGCAGAGTGAATTTTGGCGCTCAGAAAGGAAAGTGTTCCTTCTGCAGCTGATAATTGCATGCCTTGCAGTCATGGGAGCATAGGAAAGCTTGGAAGGTTTCGTCAGCTTCACGATTTGTGCTATCGCAATGATATATCCTGACCATTAGGACTGCAGGCAGCTTGAATCCTTAAGCTATTTTACATTTTTAGATTATGTATATTTTTTCTGAGACTTAATAATTTGTACTTAGACCTTGGTTTCCTTGCTTCCCTCTGAAGCAGATAGGCAGTACCAAAAAGAATTCTTTTTTTCCTTTTTTTTCCTCACTTTTGATGAGATCCTTCAGTTCATCAGACCATTCTTGTCATAAGCACATGTAGAAATTCAAGGTTTGATTTAAGTTTATTTAAAAAGACCCAAACAAACTAACCAAGCAAAAAAGGTAATAAAACACATTCTTCAGAATTCAACCTCTCCACCTCAGGGCCTCTTATTTTATCGCCTGGGTGAAGACCTACAGAGTAATTGAATTATTTTTAAAAGAAGGACTTACCTGTCCAAAACAAGACCATGTATTCTCAGCCCAAAGCCAGGGTGTATGATTGCCTCTTGGAAATCAAACCAGATACAATCTTTTCATGAGCTTTTACAACTCTGTTTTTTACCACATTTAAATCTTTTATTGGTTTATAAATGTGATCTATTGATGTTGTCAAGGATGTCTCCTAAACGTTTTGTCCAGTTGTTATTCATACTAACTATTGCACAACCTTCACAATCAGGCACTTCATAGTTTCTGTAGGTCAGGGCAATTCAGCGTGTTATCTGACACCCACTTAGTAGTAATTTCACTGGATGTAGTATTTGCGACAGAAAGAATTCCAGTTTCTACTGTGAAACTCTGCATAGTGATAATAGTACCTAACTGCTTCATGGTGGTGTGCTTCAAAATAGACTGGTTTAATGAGTGTATAAAACGCTAAAACTGTTCCAGTCTTCATGTTAAGTAAGTGCCATTCAGTGTTTCCTCAATGAGCAGTGATTGGGATTCATTAGAGGCAACTTTGTGCAGAGGGTTTACATTATTGTACAAGTGAGAGATAATAGGTTTGAATATGGCAGCATGGATTCATACCTATAATGTAATGAGGAAAATAAATCATAATTAAACAGTGAAACAATAATGAGCTTATTTCCCTCAGTGGTGTTAAAATTTTGCATATATACGTAGTTAAAATCTATGCAGTTGTTCCCACTGGTTTGTTTTCCACCCACATGCTTTGGCTGGTGAGAAATATGTTGGCTAACGAGGGATTCCTTTGTCTGTCTTGGCATCCCAGTTTGAAGTATAACTTCTGTTCCTGTAGGCACTGGGATTTTGTGCTCACAGAGCAATTGGATAATACCCACAGAGAAAGCTGATAAAGTCTCATCTTGGTGAAAGCTCCTGTCTAATCTCAGTAGAAAAAGGCAGTGTAAAGACAAACTCAACAAACCATTGAAACCATATTTGTGAAAGGCAGCCTATTTTCACACTGAACTGTGGCTCAAATGAAGTGGACATAGGCTGCTCTTGGATGGGTATTTGAGCAACGTGATCTAATGAGAGATGGTCTTGCCCACAGCAGGGGGAATGGACTACATGATTTTTAGAGGTTGCTTCCAACCCAAACCATTCTAGGATTCCATATTTCATGCTTAAATATTTAACATTCATTCTGATCATCTGGGTCTGCATCATTAGCAACTTGGATACTTGATTTGGGCCAGGATTTGGGAGGAGAATTGGCCAGAAAACATACAAGTTGTATTCTAGTCAGTTGTTGCAACATCAACTGAAAAGTTGTCTAGAGAAACTGGGTTGTCAATTCTTATTACTGAAAGGTCTTTTCTTTGCACTTTTTCCAGTGTTCTGTGTCATTCTGTCATATTTATATAAAAATAATGGCATTGTTACAGAGTGTCTCTGATATACTGGAGCAATTTCTGACAAATAAAATGTTCTCCAGTGAGCCAATGCCCTACAGTTACTCCTTTATATGTGCAACTTTTTTCAGATTAAGCCAAGAAAATTTCAGTAGTACATTGGCACACACACGTGCTTTGCTTCTATGTATTCATAAGGGCTGCAGTAGACTTATACACTGACAAGGTTTTTAAAAACATTTGTTGTGCGGTGCTCATGGTCACAGTGGAGATTAGATATTGTCTGTATTTTGGCTTTGCACTACTCCAAGCTAACCCTTTGTTAATACTGCAGAATTTTATTTCAGTGGTAATTTATCTCAGCAGATTAATTGTCCATCCTGCTGGAATGCCTTTGCTTGGACTCTTAACTCTTGTATAGTGATTTATCCTTCATTAGTAGTGACTGATACCAGTCACCAATGAACTTGTTTCTCCTGCCGCTGAAGTAACTGGTAGAATTTCCTTTAAATACTGATTTTAGAGGAAGGCATCTTTTCAAGACATTTGAATTTATGGCTTCAGGTTGGCACATGCCTAAATCTACCTTTCATTTGCAAAGTGGATTTTTTTCTCTGCATACTCATAAACCATGAGTTGAAGTCTCAAAAAATTACTGAGTCGTTTTGTTTTAAAATAGAGAATATTCATATGTTCTTTTTTAATCTTTTGAGGCTGTTGAGTATGTTCTCTGTTGCCTTTCTGCAGCCATGAGGAAGAGAAATGTCTTTTATTTAAAAGTTAAAATTCTTAATCTGAAGCTTTGAGAAAAACAACAAATACCATTGGACTTTGTGATACCATAGAAAGGCTTGTCAGCATTAGCAATGGTAGAGAAAAGTGAGCAAAGGCTGCTTGTGTTCGGCAGCGCCTCATGTTCTTTGGAGGATAGTACACAGCTGAAGTTGGAGGGGCTACACTATGCTATGGACTTATGCAAATAAGTGAAACACTTCTTTTGTTGAGGATTATTTGTAATTGCAACAGAACTCTGTTTTTGTGCTGTTGGTGTTTGGCTTTGAAATTGCCTTCCTGTTAGAGCTTCGAAATTTGTTGAGGGAAGACTTGCGGCAAATTTTGTGGACTTGCAATAGTCACATTCCTCTTCTCCTTTTTCTCTTCTCCTCTTCCGACTCAAAGTAGACTTCTTGCAAATTCGGTTTCCTTTCTGTCAGTGGCAACAGCTGCTTTGTGTTCAGCTGACTCTGCATATTTTTGAGAACTTCTACTTCAGGAATTGTCTCTTCCATTCCCAGGCATGGAAGTGCTTCCACTGTGGAGCTGGTGTAGTGTACGAGTCATTTTATTTTTATCTTCTTTGAAATGCAGCTGGGACTAGGCATGAATGCACTAGAAGGCCTTGGAAATGGAAACATCTTTCTGTGACTGGTTTAATGTGCCTTTCTAATTGAGAATTGCAGGCATCCATCTTGCTTTTTAAACATCTAATTCATAATTGCTGATGCTGTGAGTTTCATTCATACAACATCTCTTTCAACATATGGACTGATAAACTGCATTGTGCTTAACAATAGGATAGAGATTTGGCTTTTATATCATGGTTGAATGTTGTTCAGGAGTGATTAACTATTGAACAGCACATGCTGGCTAGCCTAGAAAAGGATCTGATGATCTTCTCTAACCATTTAAGTATTGCAGGTAAGTTCTGTCTACCAAAAAAACCTAACACCACAAAACCCATTGCACAGTGTGCTTAGTGTTTCACTTCCAGATGTCAGTTTGGTTGCAAATGCTGCCTGGTTTTTTAAGTATGAAGCAATTCTATTAAATAAGATACACTTAATTTCTAAATTCGTTGGAATATTAAAATTAGTCCCGAGCTGATGCTCTTTCTGAAATTCAGGAAAATCTTTTGACTGGTAGTATAGGGTTGTGAATTTGGGGAAATGTACATTCTACTATAGGACAAAGGGATGCATGTCTCATGGAAGAGAGGGCCGTTCTGTGACTTACAGACTAGGTTGTTCTGCAATCATGTGGGAATAGTAACTCACAAATATGAAATTTATTCTTCTTTCAGTGTATCTCTGAGGTAGGAACATCTGCTTAAAATAAACCACCAACATTTTAACTGAGCAGCTTTCAGACATTATTTGGATTATACAGAGGAAATGGAGCTAGAATTATAATAATACACACTGTAAAAGAAAGAGAGGCAAATGATGATAAGATACAACTTCATGTTTCAAAAGACAGTGTCTGGTTTAGAGAGAGTAATTTCTCTTAAAGGAAAAGAATCCCCGGAGAAGTTAAGGGGAGAGTAGTTATTCTGAAACATGGCTCTGGATTAGTGAAATAGCTAAGTAACGAAATACAGGGACACATTTTTAACAAAAGCTTTCTGCCTCTGAAGGAGAAGGGTGCTGTAAGCTGTTCCTCATTGTGACATGCTTCACTTCTACCTGAATGGCTTTTCTGAAGCTTGTGAGATGTTAATGCTTGTTGTGAGGTGGATAAGGAAACTCCTTGACTTAAATGAAACACTGAGCTCCTCTGGTCAGGTTGATTATGGTCTGTTTCATCAGATTATGGTGTACAAATGCAGCAGCTGTTTAAAATTATATTTGTCATGTGTAAAGCAACTGACTCGAGTATACTAAACATTCAGTCTCTTCATTAACAGCTAAAACTCTCAAAGTTTTCTAGAGGGCATATACTGGTTCATCATGGAAGTGTTCATAATCCTGATTAACCTTTCTAGAAGCAATTAAATTGGTATATAAACTTTCTGTTAATTCTTTTATATGTTTGTAAGCCTAACTTTCTGTTGAGTGGTGTTCCTCTGATGCTACAGATTTTATTCTTTGTAAACAGGAATTCTCCGCTGAATGTAATGTAAATTGCAAGGGCATGTTCCATTGTGAAGAACAAGTTATGAAAATATCTGTCAGAAATAATTACAGTTGATCCTGCTGTCGGGCAGGCATATAGATTGGATAATTTACTGGTGTCTTCTTCAGCAATGTTTTTTATAGCACTGTTACCAGGAATATCAGAATTTAACTCAAAGTAGTGGTAAAATCACTTGTAAGGAAAAAAAGGGAAAGGTTATTGATCTTCTATTCTTGACTTTGCACAGTGGTTTGTGACATGGGCTTCCTCGTCCATGACTGTGTAGAAAGCAGAGTATGATCATAGAAACTGTTTTTTGAAGATGTAGAGGCTCTTGAATGTACAAATCCTTCTCTGTTTTTCATTGTCATCTAAGGCTGTCTTAAAGGCCTCTAACAGCTGCTTGTTCCTTTAAAGTTTATGTCTTAAATCAGATGTGGCATACAGTACAAGCCTTTGTAGAAAGCTAAGGACATGTGGAGGTAAACGTGCCATATGGTGGTCTGAAGTGCATATTTTGCCAGGTCGTGTGTGAAAGTGGCATTTAAGCATCCTGTAGAACAAGTTAATGGAAGAAGTTGCAAGGCTGTTGGTTGCCATTGTCCTCTGTTCTCTAGATTATAAGACCTGCTACGGTTGTCCAGGACAGCAAAGCAAAAGAGAAAGATGTAAATGTGCAGTTGGCAGGACCAGGAAAAGGTAGGTTGGTAAACAGCTCTTGTAATTGGTAGAAATTGAAGTGTCAGTATTATTCTTAGAGTGAACAACAACACATCTTTCTAATGCACCCTTTCCTCACCGATATGGAGCTGCTAAGTTTTATTGATTGCTTCTCTTAAATTTCTACTCTTGATTATTTCAACACTGATATTTTGGGGAGTTTAATTTACCTTTCCTCAGAAAGTTCCTTTATTTCTCCAAATCAGGAATTGTCTTTTTCATGTAAGCCTTCCAGGACTGTACAGAAAGAAGATCCAGGATGTGGATTCCTTAGCCTTGTCTAATGGTACATTTAAGGAATAATTAATTGCTTGGTTGCCTTTTGGACTGTTCTCTATCCTAAAGGTCCACAGCAACAGAAATGTTCTCTATCCCTGACAGGTGTTGCAGTCTCTGATTATCACAATGCATTGTAGTGACCTCCAGGCTTTTTAACCCAACAGATTATACCAGTTCATGAAAGTACTGGCCTTAGAAGGGCTGCAGAGGGTTTGAAAGAAAACAGCTACTTTAATGAGAGAAAATGGACCATTCAGTATTCCTCACTTCTGATATCTGTACAGTTTCAAATTGGACCACGGTACAATGGAGCAAATGGTCCCAAAATGAGCTAACTGTCCCAACTCAGACCCAGGCTTCCTTAACCCTGCCTGTCTTTAACTCCTTTGACAGCTGTCTTCTCCTGGGACAGAGGCGAAACTTCGACAGACCGCATTTGTTGAGCAGTGCTCCCCAGACTTGCAGCTCTCCCCAGGAAGACCTCAGAACAATTACAAGTGTGTCACCTGGACAAAATGTAAAACTTCGCTGTCAGACTACCCTATCCCTGGTAAGGCATCTCGGGCCACCTAATAACTGATGAAAACAAGCTTAATAAAAAGGAAAATCCCTGTAAAAGAAGTGGACTACTTGGAGATATTAAATATTTCTGAAATGTTCGTATTACACTGTGATGAGTATACTGTAAAAATGCATGCAAAGTAATCAGAGGACAATGAGTACAGGAAAGGAAACACTTTCTAAAGGTGTTCTGTAGTTTGTTCTTTGTAGATGTTGTTTTTAGTCTGCCTTGTCTGACAGAGAACTGATTGTGATTATAGACTTCATTTATGAAAATGCCTGTGAGTGTTATGACAGAGCAGGTTTTGATTTGGCCACTCAGAGAATCTTTGAAAAAATACTGAATGAAAATAAGGTGTGCGCGACAGCCTGGATGGCACGGTGAGGTAGACCTGACCTATTTAGCTGTATATCTTACTGTGAAATTTCACCTCTAAATCTAATTTTAGTGTTATTTCCCTTCTGTAAGCATGACTGTGCAGCTGTGAATCCTATGCAAAGGCTTATGTACATATTCACCTCTGTGGTTTAGAGAATATAGCACATGCTGGTATTCCCTTTAGCCCTGTATTTAAATTTTTGCAAAATCAAGATCTCAATACACTTGTAATATTCTTCTCTCTGTAGTATGGATGAGTAGTATTATAAGCAGAATATAATAACAGTGTAAATCTTAATATAAAACGTGAGTTAACAGTACTCAGTACAGTGTGACTGTTCTTAGTTCATATTTAATTCCCATATATTAATAAAAAATGATTAATCATTATAATGTGCTAAAATGCTAACAAAGACTAAAAACAGTTCTGAATGACATTCTGTGTTAAATTAATTTGCTAAGCAGTGCTGAGAACAGCTGCAGAAAATCACAAAGCATTCTTGTATCTTACGTAGCCTACTTCTATTTTTTTCGCTTGGTGAGTCGTTTTCTTAGTTTAACTTTGCTTTTTGCTTTGTGGTCTGTTTACTTTGATAAACATAGTCAATTAAGTTCACAATAGAATGTGACTGGGTAAACTTGGCTTCCTAGGTACTGATCCTACTGGAGGTGTCACTGTTGACTGCATGTTAAGTTAATGCATGGGAAGTTGGAATAAATGAGGCATTTAATGTTTGGACTCAATAATCTTACGCTCTTTTCCAACCTTAATGATTCTATTATTCTATTTCCATTTCTGTGTGCCCAGTTTGTCATTTTAAGATGATATGGCATTAAGCAATGCTTGGGTGTTGCTGGAGAGGAGGTGTTAATGCTGCTGTAGGTGTTCTGCCTGACATCACTTTCAGGTCAGCCTGGGAGCACAGGTGCAAAGCCTGTACCAGGAGTTAATTTTGGTGCAAGCAGCATTGTCATGATCACGTTCAGGTCTGTTCATACCTGTCTATGAGAGGTTAGAGAAGAGACAGAACTTCTCATTAACCTGTGTTACGGAGGAAATGATGGCAGCTCAAAATGCAAGACAGGCTCAACCTGTGCTTATTAAGACACTCGTGTTCTGACTAGATGAGTACAAGAAAAAGCCTTTGTTCCCTTTTTATTTTGTGTCTAGTGAAACTTTACTCAGTATTTGTGTTCTCTAACATGTCCAGCAGCAAATCAACAGCAACAAGAGTCACTGAAATGGTGGAGCTGACAGTTTATGGCTAAAGGAGGGAGGATCTAGACTGAAGCATGGAGGCTCCCTGCCTCCCCAGAAGTCATTTCTTGTATATTTTGGTAGGATGTATGTGCTTAACAAAACAAAAATAGTCCTCTGAGACCATAATCTCTGTTAGCTGGATGTACGGGGCTTAAATTATCAAGGAAGTAATTATTTACATATTTTAGGTATCAGAAAGAACACCAAAGTTCTCACCATACGTGACTCAGAATATTTTTAAATGTGCTGAAGCTGTGTGAATTCTGCCTTAGATCTGAGGATAAATAGTACACTTCAGCACAGGAACATCTCCAATATGCTATGTTGGGTACTGAAATCATGTCATTCACAAACATGTATATATCTCACATATCTAGTCTGCCAAGAACTGTTGTGTTCAGTTTGGAATTTTTTGGTGTTTCTTGAGACATAAATTTACATGATCAGAACATAACACTGTTCTTGAATCTTCTTTTTTTCAAAGATAGTATCTTCAGCTGTAAATTACAAAGACATGCTACCTGCAGGTAAGATGTTGCTATAAATTAGAAGAAGGTCTGAGAGACTGTGAGAGGAAACTGAAATAAAATGGGTTTTGGATAGGACTGAGGCAGGATCAGTCTGGTACATTGCAACTCAGAGTAATCTGCTGAAATGATTCTCTCTTGTTATTTCAAAGAACGTGTTTCATTTAAATTATGTAGCATGGGATACTTAGCCCCTATGTGAGCAAAGTAGAGGCAGTTGGACCAAAGGATTAATTTTGATGCTTTTTTATTGCGGAGATTTAACCCTGTAATTTAGAGAAACAGGTTAGAGTCATGAGAAGGAGAACAGGACAACATTTTTTTCTGCTGTGTTGTGGTGAATAAGTGGCATTTCTGTCGATTGAGTTTCAGTTCTGGAAAGTGTCCCAATAGTTTTATTTATGTTGTATTACTGCCCATATCTATGTATACTTGTAGAAAATTGATAACGGTATAAAATGCCTGCCTTCTGTTTAAATCTGTTTTGTGTAAATCAGAAAGGTTTTTATAACATTGTGTCTTGCCAGCTGTCTGCTGCAGTAAATTTCTTGGACTCATTAAGCATCCTAGAGGACAAGATGTCCATAAACTCACTTGGATGAATTCATGAACACTTATACTAGTAAAACCTGGGTTTCTCTGTATTTCTCACTCCTGATTAATTACCCTTTCAAAAGTTATTTAAAGTCGAAGGATGAACAGACAAGCTGTATTCCATTAGGAAAGCAAGCTAAAAGTTTCATTCTGCATGGAAATGGTTGGTATCCTGCTTAGAAATGTGTGCAAAAATGCCAGAGTTTACCCTGAGGTGCTGCAGGACAAGAGCTGTCTCAGCCTGTCCGGTTGACAGTGCATTGGCAGTCACTTACAGGTACCTTTCACTTGAATTGCAGTGGCTGAATGTGGCATTTTTCAGGTATGCTCTCCTCTAATGCAGGAAGGCTGAAACCTCACTTGTACAACTCACATAAGGGTTTGTTAGGTAACAACAAATGGCAGCTGAATATAAAGTTTAGAACAAGAAAATAGCAGTGATAGTTAGCCAGATTTCAAGCATCTTATGCTAACCAGTGTGGCTAGTTCTTATTTATTGTTGCAAGTATCCTGAAGTATTATTATATTAAAGACCTTTTCATAATGCAAATGGGTCTGATAAAAGTCAAATTTTTCTTAAGTGGAGGTATTACTGCTATAAAAAGCTGTGGCATAGATTTAAAGTTCTGCATTGAATCAGATTTGTTAATGGGGGTCAGCTCAAGCCAAAAAAAAATGCCAGAAGAGCCTTTTATTGTTAGCCCCAAATAAAACCCAAAGAAAAACCCCAGATACCAAACAAAAAACAAAGGAAAGATACAAACAAAATATCTAATGAAAGTAGCAACTGGTTTGGTAAACAATGCATTCTGGAAGATTGTTATTCAAGTTGATGTGCTATCAAGGTTAAAAAATAAAATTCAAAAAAATCCAGTATTATAGAACACTTCTTATGAAGTCTGGATCTGATTTTTTTTTTTAAGGCTCCAATTTGTATGTTGGTAGTTGTAGGTACTTAAATAACACAAATCTAATCTTTCCCCTTTGCCTTGCCTCAAAGAAGTGTATTGAGGACAAAGAGCTCAGGGGAGACACAGAGTAACTGATAAAAAGTGTTTGTACTCATGCAGAGAGGTGGGGCAGGGGTAAGGTTACTTTCATAGCCACACTTACAAGTGCTTTAAAGGCTCATCCTGTTTCAGAAATGTATTCCTTTTCCTGTTTCACACCATCATTTACAAATTTCAGCCCACCGCAACTCCCTGTCACTCAAAAGAATGTGGAATCTGTTATTATTCATGTATCCATTTCATTTCACACCAAAACCTAGAAATGTGTCCTAGAAAAGGGAAATCTTGGGGAAAAAAAAAGATTATAAAAATCCTAGATTTCACAGGGAAATATATCAGTTTATTCAGCTGCTCATTTCTACGCTCCAATATGATTGGCTTCAAAAATGAAATGCAAAAAAAGGAAGCACTTGGCTATGCAAGCAAAATTGTATTTTGTTCCTTTGTTTCTGGGAAACAAGGATGAGTTTCTGTTAAGTCCTCCTTAACAGAAACACAGTCTTTGTTAACTTTTGTTTTGTTTAGGAATTTGACCCATCCTATTTATATTAGTTTTCAGTAGGTGGATTAAAGCCAGGCACCCAAGCCACTATTCCTGACTGAATGAACATATCATTTATTTTTCTGGTGCTTTGGTTTTATTCTCTGTCAAATGTGTGTGTAGGAGCTCTTGAGATGTTTACAAAAACCCTGTTTTTGTAGAACATCTAGCTCCTACTTTTGCTTAGCACACTGTACTTGGAGCAGGGGGGAAGGAGGTCTAAAAGGTGTGGGTTTTATCATAAGATTTGCAGTAAACAGTCAATTACCTTGGAAATACATTAACTATGCACATTATTGCAAAGGATTTATGTAGCATAGGGTATGAAAACTATTCTGTACTCTACAGGAGGCGGAAAACTATGTGAAGCAAATTTCTTGTCTAAAATCAGTTGGTTTTCCTGGATAGCAAGTCATTTTTGTGTGGAGCAGCTTCGTGACATTCATTGCATGTTGCAGTAGCCCATGTTACCACTTTGAAATGAAGAAGAGGAATCCATCAGCTGTCTCACAGCGGCATAATTCCTTTTAAGTGATGCCAGGTTAGTTGGATTTAAGTTGATTTGTCCTATTTGCAGTTTCTATGGGAGCTGGAAATGATATCAGAAAACACTAAGGGACAGTCATATCTGATTTTCTGGGCATCTGCTCCTGTTTGGGAAACAGTCTCAAACTTAC